TCAAAGTTATCTCCAAATGTTTCATATGTTCTTTATGATTTTTACTATGTACCTAAATATAATCTATATATACAAACAAATGGGAGAGAATTAAGCTATCCATTTTTCTTTGAAAAAAAGAAGGTGCATTTTTTAAACCAAAAGTCATAACTAACCGTTCAAAATGTCCTAATGAAGTAGTAAAAGCTATTCATGGAATAGAATTTTTGGCCAAAATCCAAATTTACAATCAAATTTAGAAAATATCTTGTTATTTTGTATTTTATTTACTAAAATATCTTTATTTGGTATCTTCTATGGTATTATCGTTTAATCTTTTGTAATTTATAACCATTCTTGCTTTTCCTCTACGATACTGGGGTGGCACACAAGATGTAATATAAAAAATAGCCCTTAGCTGTGTACAAAATATCAAAGGACAAAAAACCTGAAGTTGTAAAACTAATAAGAGACCCCTCTCGGTTGTATTATATCACTTTGCACATTTAATGCACGCCTGTAGGAGATAATCATGTCTGATAATTTAATGATGACCAGTTATGTTCGAACCCTATTTATATTTATCTACCTACAATGTCGAGTAGTCAACTCCAGTTATTTGGAATGAGCATCATTACCCATCGGCAACACTAACTCAAATAATTTACATTAATTATTCTACTCATTGACATTCCAAAAACATAAAACAACATATAAAATAGCATGAGATCAAAATTTTAATTAATGAAGCCAAAAAAAAAAAAAAAAAGAAAAAAAAAAACCTCCTCTAAATCAAGGACTTATGTTTTTCTAGGAAGTGTACTTGTTCCTTTATTGATTTGAGATATTTTAACAAAAACTAACAATTCTATCTTAGATCATGACATCATTTTGTCTTTGAGTTTGCAAATGATGCTAGAAAAATCATCATACAATTGGAAGGCTCAAGTTTGGGTCACTATTAGTGATAGGAAGGAGTTTCTTTGACGGCGACTTCTTTACTAAACATGCCTTCTAAAGACCTTTACAACAAACTGTTCTTCGTGATGAATTTACAAAACACAATTACTTGTAAACTTACTAGAGGATCACTGATATCGAATTCAATGTTTTCTGATTGAAAAGAACAGTGTTTCTTATTAAAATTTTAAATCTACTACAAGAGCAGAGAAAACTATTTATAAATAACGGGGAAGGTGACTGGAACTGTTAGGAAAAAGTTGAACGTATGTTCATCAACTAGTTGTCATGGATTGTTGAAGAAAATAGAATCTTTAGAAAGTTAATGTTGTTGCATTGTTACCAAGACGGCACAGTTGGAAAACATAGAGTTTTTGTTGACGGAAAACTTGAGATTGATAGCAATTGCTTCCAAAATAATTCCAAAGGTTATCTCTAAAATTCAAATTAACTTGCTTATCTCCTTGTTATAGGCGTGCATTTAATGTGCAAATTCCTATATTCCTCTCCGTCAGATTTCATAATTTTACATTTACTGGTTTTTCTTCCTTGATATTTGGTTTACAGCTGACCATTTTTTATTTTTATTTTATTGATTTACAAAACACAATTACTTGTAAACTTACTAGAGGATCTATTTAATTGATGAAGTTAACATTATGTAATGATTTCATTAACTTAGAATTCCTTGTAAAGTTCAATTTTTCCAAGACCAAATCTCGGTATTGTTGGGGTTTAGGTTCTCCATGTATACACAGTTATGAATGCACAATGTCCATGATTTAATGATCCCCCATGTGTACACAGTTAAGAATGCTCTGTGTCCAAATTATTTCATTTATAGTATTATATTTAAAGGAAAAATGGTTAATCTAAATTGTTTGAATTAGAAAAGAATCGTATAATTTATTTTAATTTTATGCCACTGCAATTTTAAAATGGAAATAAATTAATAAACATTCTTCGGATTAGTGCTGCCTCATATTTATTATTTCGTTTATTCTTTCATGCACTGGAATGATAAAAAGGAAAATAAATAAATGTACATTGTTTGAATTAGTGATGAATCATATTATTTCATTTATCCTTTTTTTATGTTGTTGGAATGCTGAAAGGAGAAAAATTAATGTAAATTTTATGAGTTAGTGTCCTCAATGAATGATGATGCACATGTCATAACATGAGAGTTGACCGCTCAGCATTGTAGGTATATAGATGGGGTTCTAATATTAATGTTTGTCATCAAAATACAAAGTAGAATCATTGCAAAGAATTCTAAGTTTTTATGTGCATCTCTTATATATACAGTAAAAGCATATGATTATTCAAACATATCTTGTTTTCAATAAAAAACTTAGCATCCGAACAATTCCTTTTTTGCAAGGTCTTTGTTGAATTATTTTTCTTTTTAAACATTTAAATCTTCTACAAAGACTAATAAAACTATTTTTGCAATGTAGGAAAATGATTGTATTTGAAAGCGAAAGGTTGCAGGTATGTTCACTGACAAGGAGTCTGCTAGTTTTCATAGATTGTTTGAGAAAAGAGAATGTGGCTGCACTGTTACCAAGGCAATGCACTGTTCAACTTTGTAGGTACATAAATGGGGTCCTAGTATGAAAAATATTCATCAAAGTATTAGTGATATTTACAAAGTAAATTTTATGTGCATTCAATTTATACTATAAAAGCACATGACAAGTCAACTGTATTTTTGTTTTAATAAAAAAAGCTCAGAATCTAACCAATTTTTTCATTGCATTTTTGTGTGGAATTTGATGTTTTCGGATTGAAAAGAACTGTGTCTCTCATTAAATTTTTTAGATCTTATAGGCATGCATTTATTGTATGGATTGTTATAATACCACATAGTCACGTTTCATTGTTTTACATCTCTTTGATTTTCTCCCTTGATATTTTATACATAGTTAATGCCTATTTTTTTTGATTCAGAAATCAGAATTACTTTTAATATTTAATTTCGATATTATGTAATAATTTCTTTTAGTTATGAACTTAATAAACAATAATTTATTTTTGAAGATTATTATTCATTGTAATTTTATGCTGTTGCAATTCTGAAATGAAAAAATAAATTAATAGATGTTTTTTAAATTACTGTTGAATCATATTATTTCTTTTATCTTCTTACGTGATTGGAATGCTAAGATGTAAAATAAATGTATATTGTTCGAATTTGTGCTCCATAGGTTCTCTCTAAAATTCAAATTAACTTGCTTATCTCCTTATTACAAGTGTGCACTGAATGTGCAAATTTCTATAATTCCTTTCCATCGGATTTCGTAGTTCTACATTTATGGATTTTTCTTCTGTGATATTAATTTGGTTCGCAGCTGACTATTTTTCTAATTGATTTACAAATTACAATTTCTTGTAAACTTATTAAAGGATCTATTTAATTGATGAAGTTAATATTATTTAATGATTTCATTAACTTAGAATTCCTTGTAAAGTTCTTCGAAGACCAATTCGCCATATAGTTGGGTTTTTGGTTGACTTGCTTATCCTTATCATTTCTAAAATTATGAACCCCACGTATGCATATATATGAATTCACAATGTCCATGATTTAATGAAAATTATGACCCCCCATGTGTACACATTTTTAAGAATGCTCTGTTCCAAATTATTTCACTTACAGTATTATGTCGAAACAAATAAAGGATCATGTAAATTGTTCAAATTAGAGCGGAATCGGATTATTTTATGCTGTTGGAATTTAAAATGGGAATAATCTGATAAACATTGTTTAAATTATTGCTGACTCATATAAATTATTTCACTTATTCTTTCATGCCATTGGAATGCCAAAAAGGAAAATAGATAAATTTACATTGTTTGAACTTTGAATTAGTGTTGAATCATATTATTTCGTTTATTCTTTTTTTACGTCATTGGAATACCAAAAGGAGAAAAATTAATGTAAATTTTACTATTTAGTGTTCTGGATGAGTGATGATGTACATTGCATAAGATGAGTGTTGACTACTCAACATTGGGTTTCTAATATTAATGTTTGTCATCAAAATACTAGTGACAAATACAAAGTAAAATCATTGCAAAGAATTCTAAGTTTTATGTCCATCTCTTTTATATATATGGTGAAAACATATGATTCTTCAATAATATCTTTATCTCAATAAAAAACTTAGCATCTAGGCAATTCTTTTTCTTTTTCTTCCCCCCCCCCCCCCCCCCTTCTTCTTTTTTTTTTCCCCCCCCCCCCCCCCCTTTACAAGGTCTGTGTGGAATTCAGTGTATTATGATTGAAAGAACTATGGTGTTAATTAAAAAAATTAATGTACAAATTGTTATGATACCACCTCGGCAGGTTTCATAGTTTTACATTACTTGGATATTTCTCCCTTGATATTTTTAAACAGAAAGCATCTATTTTTTATTGATTCACAAATGGCTATAGTATTTGGAATGATAAGGAAATGCAAGTCAAATTTAAACCCAAGTGAATGCAGCATAGATTTTATAAAAGATTGCATTTTTGCAATAAATTTTGGTTATAAATTTCCGTAGACATTGATATTACTAGAACGATTAAGTTTTATTAGTGTATATGCTTATTCACACTTTTGATCAATGCATGCACAATGAGTGCGTGCATGAATAGGTGTCTAATCTAGTTTCCTATGGCATTTTGATTTGAAAATTTCTTATGTGGTCGATTATTTAGATGTATCATTACTGGGTGCTAACCTTCATTTCTTTGTTTCTTGATCTTTTTCTTTAATGGAAGAACCTTGCTACAAGTACAGCAATTTTAACATCATGGTTGACAGCCCTCCCACATACAAGAAGTGGGGCTCATGATTAAATTAATTGTGGGCCCAACAATTGTGAAAGTGCTGTAGGTGTACTGTACTCGTAGGCGTGCGTGTATTTTCTTTTCCTTACCTTTTTTTTTTTTGGGAGGGGGGGGGGGGGGGGGGGGGGGGAATGTATAAGTAATCATTTCTATCCTAGTCCATAAAATCATGTTGCTGTTGTTGCAGCTCAATTATAGAGTTTTTGTATGGATAGTACTATAAATTTAAAAATTTGCTTTCGATACAATACACATATAGAAACACAGGCTCAAACTTATGTATATACAAGGTTAATTGCTTTTAACTTTTCAAAATTGTGTCACTGTGTTTATGACGTGAATCACATTGGACAATATGAGACTAAGGCAGTAAAGATAGAATTTCAATAGTGGTAGACTCAACCACGGAGTGCTTTCTATCTGTATTTAATGGCAGATCGCTACGTCTTACTGAAAGTGAAGAGTGTGATCCTCCGAACTCAAGAATAAAGAGAATAACAATTCTCAGTTGGGCAACATCATACAACCTTCACAACCTCCTGTTCTCTGACAACTGAATCTAGAGCTTCTTCCTATGTCTCCATCAATAGTTTCTGATCCCAAGGCCTCGACCTTCAAAACTTTCTCAAGATGGGTTGCCCAGTTCCATCCCCTTTCATGATCTTCATGTTATCAATCTGTTAAACTGATCGTTAGCTTGTAAATATTAGACTTTCAAAAAAATTATAGATTGGACATGTAAGTCGGGTTGTGGGCGAATATGATGCTAAATTAGTTTGCTTGTATTGCTGCAATTGATGATGATGTAAGAGGTATTGAGATTGGTAAAAGAGACTGAATTCGATTTGAAATGCTACCTCTTTTGTTTTTATATGTATAAACATCACTCATCCGAAATTCACTCATTCAAAGGAAGCACAATAAATAATCTTTTATTACAATATTCCAGCGGTAAGGACAATAGATCAGTTAATAAGATTTAGATTGCATAATAATATAAGATAATTCCTAATTAAAGTACGTTGGAGAACTTCCTATATTCTCAACTAAGAGCATCATGATATATGTTGCTATCTTCCTAACTTCGTAGAGTTAATTGCTGCAATTTACGACATCTAGGATGGCATGCAAATTAATTATAATCAGCTGTTTGATGTGAAGTCTTTGTAGTATCGTTAGCAAACAAGTCCTAGAAAAGGGAATGCATTTTCTGTCACTATTAGTGATTGAATCTCGATTCTTCTAATCGTTACGTGAGATATTGGGGTGGCACACAAGATGTGACAAGTAAATGTGATTTGTGAATGAATAAAACATAACCATCATCAGTGTACAAAATATCAAAGGAGAAAAAATCTGGAGATGTAAAATTATAAAGCCTCTCTAGTTGTATTATAATAATTCGTGTATTTAATGCACGCCTGTAAGAATGAGATAAACATGTTCATTTCAATTTATAGAGAACCTTCGTAACTATTTCGGAAGCATTTTCAATCAATCTGATTTTTCCATCTACTTTAAAGTTTTCCAATTGCATCGCCCAAGGAACGTTGCAGCCAAATTCAATTTCTATAACAAGTGGTGGTGCTTTTAGATGCTATCATCTATTCTAAGTTTGTCTGAACAACCTACTATTTTCACTTGTCTCTGCAGATATTGCTTTGCTAAGTTTTGTTTGCAAATAATTTCTTAATGGGAGATCAAATCATACAATTTTATTAAGTTTCATGAATTAGTGCTTTGATGTGCTGAAAATTTTTGCAGATCTCTCAGTTTACCTCTTCCAAAGCAGGAATAATTGTTGCAGATCTCTCAGTTTACTACTTCCAAAGGGTCTTCACGATGACTGCATGGGGCCAAGAGCTGTGACAGAGGTAAACACCATTAAACTTCATTTCCTAATTTGCTTGATCTTTTCCTTTTAATGAAAGTCATTTCATTCTGCCACCTTTATCTTCAAATAATTAATTAATTTTCTTGTACCCATATTAAATATGTAACTGTACTGTTGTCAGTTTAATTAAAATGCAAGGTTCTGTCAAGACTAAATAATCGTTGTTCGCGTGCATGTATTTTCTTTTCTTTATTCTCTTGGGATAAGTGTGTAAGCTAATCATTTTTATCTTAGTCGAAAAAATTATGAAAATCACATAAAACTATAGACTTTTAGTATGGAAAGTCACATAAATTCACTAGCTCAAACAACAGTATCGACAATGTTAATTGCTTTTAACATTTCAAAACTGTGTCACTATGTTTATAACCTGAATCAGATTGGGCAATACGAGTCTGTAGCAGTAAAAAATAGCATTTCAATGGTTGTAGACTCAACAACAGAGTGCTTTCTGTTTGTGTTTATTGGTAGATTGCTGCATCCTACCGGAGGTAGAGTGTGATCCTCCACTCAAGAATAAACTGGAGAATGACAATTCTCAGTTGGGTACATCAGATAACCTTAATAACCCCTTGTTCCTGCTTCTTTCATTATCTTCTTGTTGTGAGTGTTATACTGGTCCTTAACTTGTACATATTAGAAGATAACATTATTGTTTCAAAAAGATTATAGATTACATGGGAGTTTCTTTTTCTCTTTCTCTCTCTCTCTCTCTTTTTTTTTCTCAGTAAAGTCGTGCTGTGGTGAATATTTTTTTGCTTGTATTGCAGCCACTGAAGATGATCGAAGAGTTTTTGAGATTGAGACAAGAGAATGAAGTCAATTTAAAATGCTTACTCTTTTATTTTTATATGTATAAACATCATTCATCTTGTGTGCAAATTTATTTTTGAAGATTATTATTCATTGTAATTTTATGCGGTTGCAATCCTGAGATGAAAAAATAAATTAATTTATATTTTTTGAATTAATGTTGTATCATATTGTTTCTTATCTTTTTATGTGATCGGAATGTCGAAAAGGAAATGAAATGTACATTGTTTTTCTCTCTAAAATTCAAATTAACTTGCTTATCTCCATATTATAAGTGTGCATTTAATGTGCAAACTTCTATAATTCCTCTCCGTCGGATTTCGTAGTTTTACATCTAGTGGTTTCTCTTCCTTGATATTTGGTTCACAATTGACTATTTTTTTTTATTGATTTACAAATTACGATTGCTTGTTAACTTACTAGAGGATCTATTTAATTGATGAAGTTAATATTATTTAATGATTTCGTTAACTTAGAATTCCTTGTAAAGTTCAATTTTTTGGAAGACCATTTCACCATGTAGTGGGGTTTTAGGTTCACCTTTTGATGCAGGAGGTTCCGAACCAAGTGAGGTTGAAATATTAGATGGCAAGTTGATGGCATTGAGATATTATAAGATGGCAGATCGATGCAAAGATAGAAAGTGATTGCATACTTTCCTTAATTCGGGCAATTTTGACACGTTTTGGTAATTTTGCAATAACTTTGGCTACAGTTATCAATTATGACCTTTATCTGGAAAGCTCTTTTCGGTGCGATGTGGTCATGGTTATCGTGGATAGGTTCCGATTGAGGAAGTCCCACACCGTGATCGTAATGTTCAGGATGTGACGAGAAAAAGAGATTGAGTTATTAACATGGAACCCCTTATTACTTGCGCAAATGGAATGGTATCCCAGGCCTCTGCTATCTCTATTCGCGCGTTCTCCTATTGAAGATTTGCAGAGACAGGTTGCGGAGCTAACCCAACATCGGCGAAACAAGAGATCGGTAATCATGAAGTGAAGGGTCATGATTCCAATTCTAGTTTAGAAAATCCATATCATAATTGTGCTCGAGTCTGGGAGGATCGCCATGGAGACCTCGGTTTCAAAGTGGATCTCCTTGAGTTTTCTAGTACGTTACAGATCGAAGGTTTTATTGATTGGTTGAATGAAGTGGAGCGAATTTTTGAGTATAAAGAGATCCCAGATCATTTCAAAGTTAAATTGGTCTCCATCAAACTCAATGGTAGAACTTCTGCATAGTGGAAACAATTGAGGCATTCACGAGAGCAGAAGGGCAAGTCCAATATCACTGATTGGAAAAAGATGAAGAAAAAGATGAAAGGTCATTTTCTTCCTTTCAGCTACACTCGAACCTTGTTTCAACGTCTCCATTCACTGAGATAAGGTACAAGATCGGTTAATGAATATATGAAAGAGTTCTATTAGTTGGTAGCCTGGAATGATTTATCTAAGATGCAATAACAGATGGTGGCATGGTATTTTGGAGGACTAAACCAGCCCTTGCAGGATGTTCTCAGCCTTTATTCATTGTGGACAGCTTCTGAAGCATACTAGATGCACTTGCCGTGGAGAAGCAGCAAAATAGGAGGCCAGTGGTCAAAGGTAAAAATAGTCAGCCAGTTGGCCCTTAAGAATCCCTTCCTGCATATTAGCCACCGTGGAACAATTCTAGCTAATGTGTCAAGTGTTTCAGATGTGGTGATCAAGGACATAGGGCGACTGATTGCAGGAAGTTGGCTAGTCAGAAGAATAAAAATCTCTTGATTGAGGAGGATTTAGTAAGGAAATTATAGGAGGTTGGACAACATGTATATGATGATGGTGAAGATGAAGACATGCTGTATGGAGATGGCCAGAGACTCTAGTCATGCGTAAGAGTCTACTAACTCCCAAGGGAGATTTAGGAGATGTTTAGTTGAGGACAAATGTTTTCCACACGACCAGTACAGTTGTCGATAAAGTTTGTAAGTTGATCAATGACAGTGGCAATTGTGAGAATATAGTATTTGAAGAGGCTGTCCAGAAATTGTACCTGAAGATAGATCGTCACCCAAGCCGTACAAGTTATCATAGTTGAATAAAGGCAGTGAGGTAACAGTAGAAAAATAGTGTCTGATGTCTTTTTCAATCGGCATGAAATATTTTGATAATGCTTGGTGTGATGTTGTGTCTATGGATGCCTGTCATATATTGTTGGAATAAACTTGTCAGTATGATCGTAGTGTTATTCATGATGGACGAAAGAATAAATATTCCCTTCGCATTAGAGGGAAGAAGATCGTGTTGGCACCTCGTAGGGAAGAAACTATCCATGCCCCAATAGTTAATAATACCAACCTCTTTTCCATGTCTAGGTTCCTAGTTGAGATTGGGCACGAAGATGTAGCCTATGCTCTACTATCTCGTGAGAACAGAGCAGTGAATGAGGATTTAGACTTACCAGCAAAAGTGCAGCAGCTACTAACGGAGTTCTTTGACCTGATGCTAGAAGATCTTCCTCCGAGGTTACCATATGAGGGATATTCAACATCATATCGACCTTATTTTGAGGTCGAGTTTGCCTAATCGACTAGCATATCACCTCAACCCCAAGAGAGCTGAAGTGTTACATCGACAGGTGGTGGAATTGTTGGAGAGGGGCTACATTCGTGACAATATGAGTCCATGTATAGTTCTTGCTCTACTAGTTCTGAAGAAAGATGGATCTTGGAGAATGTGTAGACAACAGAGCAATCAACAATATTATAGTGAAGTACAAGTTTCCAATTCCCTTCCTAGATGATATGTTGGATTAGTTGTCCTGTTCTAAGGTCTTCTCAAAAATTGACCTTAAAAGTGAATATCACCAAATCAGAGTAAGGCTTGGAGATGAATGGAAGACGACGTTCAAGGCGCAGCATAGATTGTACGAGTGGATGGTCATGCCGTTTGGACTATCCAATGCACCCAGCCCTTTTATTATGGCCTTTCATGGGGAAGTTTGTAGTAGTACACATAGAGGAAGGTACATTCTCAATGGCTTTCAAAGGTTACTGATGATTGAGGCAGGTTGAACAAGAAACACAAGACGAATACAAGAACAAAGTGCTCTTGGCGATCCATAGAAAATAGACAATTCCTAAAGATTGGGAACACGTGTGAGTGAAGCACGTTCTAACAGGGCTTGGAGATTGCAGGAATTAGGTCAACAAGTCTAGTGGATTTGCTAGGCTGGATAGCACTGTAATTTCTTATTGTAGTGGAGGTTATTAGCTTAGTCTCAGAGTTTTTAATCCTGCAAGGGGTTTTCTTCATCAAGAATTCTTCTATATTATTTGTTTTTCTACAAATTTATTAAACTATGATAATTCGACATAGGTTAGTGTACATGTGAATTCATGAAGATTAATTAATGAGTGAATTGTTGCTGTTAATTGATAATTTTAATTCCTTTGTTTTCACCTATTCACCCGATATTAGGGTCAAACTAGTAATTTTCTTCGAGTTTGCAAATGATGCTAGAATAATTGTAAACACATAACAAATGAAAAACCGAAGTTTGGTTCACTATTAGTGAAATGAAATGAGTTTATTTGAGGAGTGTTTCCTAGACACACCTTTTAAAGACCTTTACAATAAATCTTTCTTTGTGATCAAATTGTAGGATGTTCTAGATGTCTTGCAAAGCAATTCACTCTTTGAAGAAAGTAAGGTTGCAATATGTACCTTATTTCGTTTATTGTTTTATCTGTTGGAGTTGGGGTCTAGATATTTTTTACATGCAATTACTCTAAACTAGAAGTAGAAAGATAGGGATATCTGGTGTAGAGCACTCAGATACTTTCCACGCGCATCTTTTGTGCAAACAGAGCCGGTCCTATGATTTATAAGCCCTGAGGCGAAGCGTGTAAAGTAGGCCCCCAGCGAAAGCAATTTAAATACAAAATTCAACGGTGTATTATGTGACCCATTGCTAACTTAAAAAACTAACATTAAAACAACAACTAAATATATTATAGAAACGATTTATATTATAAACCATCAAAACCAACAATGTTTCAAACAATTAGTTGAATACTATTCGTCTTGCCGTTTTAGAGACAAAAACATCAATCAAATTTGAATAATTTAGCTGCCCAACAATTTATTTTTCTATTGATAATATAGCCAACCCATTTAATCTTTCTTATGACATAGTTGATCGAAGGTAGGTCTTGATCAACTTCAATTTTGAGAAACTTCTTTCTGCAGATGCAACTGTAACCGGTATGGTTAACAAAATTTTGTAAACAATATAAGCATTTGGGTAACAAATATTGTGAGTCTTCAAATATTGCAGTACTTCAATTGCTTTTGTTGCTTCATTTGGTAAATAAATATTCAAGACTTGTAACTCCGAACATAATCATCTCCACTGATGTCCGAACGCCAATCATGTTCAAGATGTTTCTCAAGATTCATACAAGAGTTCAACAAACTTGATAAAGTTGCATCCCTTAAGCTTTTCAAATTAAACAAAAATCCAAATATGTCATCATATTGTTTGAATTGTTCAAATCGATCCTTCAGAGAAGATAGAGCTTGATCAATTATAAAAACAAAGTACTCATCTCTAAAAGATTCTTCTGCTGATTGCTTTACCTCATCACTATCGCTTTCATCAAATTGTTTTTTCCTTCGAATTATGCATTTTTCTGTAAATACAGCTTCAATTCCCATTTCGTTTGCCTTTTTTGTTGCTTCGTCCATAGCAATGGCAAATCCGATTTCTCCATAATCTTCAAAAAATAAAACAAGTCCTTGCAATAGATCGATAGCATGATCAATATCCATGGATTCAGTTTGAAGAAATTTACTCACAATATTGACTGCATGCAACAACCTGTACCAGATTACTATGCCAAGCAAGAACTCAAAATTCTGAAATTCATGTGTTGCTAATGACTCGGCTTCACTCTTCACCTTAGGATCTTCGTTAGATCCTGCCAAATCAAGTAAGGCTCCATTATAGGCTTCACACTTTCAACATGACTTTTTCAACGTGTTTGTGACAATAGCTTCACTGTCAACCCTTTTACATTATCTTCGAAAATTTTTCATCGCTTGGTAGTAGAGGAAAATAAAGTGTAGATGCGTTGTATCACTCCGAAGAAGGATACAGCTTTGGAACAACAATTCACCATATCACATAATGCTAGATTTAGACTATGAGCACTACATGGAGTATAGAAAGCTCGGGGATTCATTTCATGTACTCTTTTTTGTACACCTTTGTGCTTCCCGCTCATGTTAGATCCATTATCATACCCTTGCCCTCTAATGTCATCAATATCCAAATCAAGTTTGATCAAAGCCTTTTGAAGCTCGGTTGCAAGTCCAAGTCCTGTTGTGTCATCTATCTTCAAAATTTCAAGCCAATGTTCCTCAAATGTAGGTAAGTTTGCTGAATCATCTACAAATCGTACTATTAAAGACATCTGCTCCTCACGACTTGCATCTGGAGTACAATCAAGTATAATTGCGAAATATTTTGCATGTTTAACTTTCTTGGCAATTGCATTTCTCACCTCATTAGCCAACAACTGTATCAACTCATTTTGGATTTTTTTGCCAAGATACGTGTATTGAATCTCTCTTACATTAGCCCGTCGAAGGTGCTCTTTCATCACTAGATCAAACTCACTAACCATTTCCACCATTTGTAAAAATAGGCCATTATTCTCAACATTTAGCCTCTCATCATCTCCTCGAAATGGTAAGGTATTTTTGGCGAGTCTTTTAACAATAGCGATTATCCTTTTTAATACATGCCTCCAATGTTCTCTTTCTGCATCGATCAACAATTCAGTGCCTTTATCAATTGTAGTTTTTGTTTGAAGCCTATTTTCCAATTCAATCAAGCCAGTCATGCAACATAAATGGTCTTCATTTCCTTCATGACTTTTAATAGACCGATGCAAATTATGCCAATCTTTGAATCCATCATTACCTAGTTGGCCAACTTTGGTCACATTTTTGGGTGTTTTAAATAACTTGCAACAAAAGCAGAAGATCCTGTCCATAGATATTGAATATACTAGCCATCTTCTATCAATTGTTTGCCCATTTCGTAGCAGTCACTTATATTGTGAAGAATCGAAATGTCTATTTGTACAATCTTTTGGAAATGAGATGTTATCGACTCTTTTTGGACCCCTTTCAACTAAGTAATCCCTTGTTTTCTGATCAATGATTTTCCAAGTCTCGGGATCATCCAAATTTAGAGAAAATGAACCCTCTTCTTCCTTATCATCTTCTTCATTATTAGAGGTGGGTTTCATCACTTCTTCTTCTTTATCATCTACTTCATTAATATAGTCAGGTTGACTCACTTCTTCATCCGTACTATCTATTTCATTAACATGGGTATGTTGAATATCTACTTCATCCTCATTCAACGCATTCACATTGTTGCTTTTGAAGTACTTGTTAATATCCCCTACTTGACTTTGAATCAATGCAATTTCATATCGTTTCCTTTTCCTCTTTTGAGCACTAGACTCATATTTAGGAGGTATAGTGTATGAGTCTGTATCTAATGTCCAATGATTAACCTAAAAAATAATTACAAAATAGCTCAATCATCACATAATTACAATTTCTAATATAATTACTATGTGCGCCTGTGCAATTGTTCATCCCACAGTAACCAATCATATAAGCCGACAAGGCTTCAAACATTTTCATTCTCTTTAATAACAAGTTAGGGCAAGCCATTGCTTACCTGAGAAGTGAATTTTTGACAATAATTGTGGAATTACACCGTTGAGTATGATCTCGTCACAACTCACAAGCCTGAAACAAAAATTTATATAAAATTATATATGATGTCTAAGATTGCCAAGCCTAAGATCTAGTGATGAGGGAATTAAGAATATTTAAGAGCAGCAAACCTTGATTTTATTGTTTGATTTTAGCTAGTTGTTCTCGATAATTAGTTAATACTTGACATTTAAATACATAAGACTCTTATAACCATCACATTCAAAATTACAATCCTTACAAACGTGCTAAAAAGTTAGTTTGTTTAATGAAATATGGTGGCAGAGCCACTTCGGGTTAAGCACCGTTTCTATCAACTAAAAATAATTTTGCAATATTAATGGAATATTGAGGGCCAAAATTTTCTATTTCAAAAGTTGGGGACTAACTCTCTATTTACATATATAAACTCTACCATGCAGCATATTACATTTAAAGATAATAAATAATGTTCATGCAATATATGTCAAAGAGTAAAAGGAAAATAGGGGAAATAAATAATAGCTGGTTTTGAGTTTTCCTTATTTTTCTTATTTTTAGTTTACCGAACAAAGCCAATTTTAATTTGTGCCCCCCAAACATATCTTTTAAAGATATTTTAAATTTTATACACTTGAAGGAAAACTTTATGTCTGCCTTTACGCTTCAGTGATTTCGCCCCTGGGTTTTATCTCTAGGTAGAAATAGTTTACAGTGGGAGAGTAATTGAATTAATTTTATTCATGAAGACGAAATTTACTCCACTTTCAATCCTTTCAACAAAATCACGTTCTGACATACATATAATTAAAATGCATAGTTTTCAATTTGTGAACTTTCTTCACTATTCCCAGCCAAAAGGCTTCTGCATATTTTAGTAAATTTCAACTCCATTGCAATAGTAGATAGATGCCAAGTGCCACAGGAACATAAATATAAGTAACGGGCCTAACGGCTTCCATAAACACAAAATTGGCTTCTTAAATAAGATTTCCAATGTGGTAAACATGTTAACCCACTAACACTAAGGCCAGAAACCATAATCCAGAAATCTCAAGAAATGAAGTAATGAAGTATAAAAGTAGATCGAGGAATCAAAATCAAAAACACTAAAAATTTTCGTGGTTCATTATAGTTAAGACACCTACACCCATAATAGCCTTATTGAGCCATTGTGCACAAAGTGATCCATTCAGATATCAATTACACACCCAAGATAACCTGACCATTACACAAAAAACGGAAGAATCAAATGCAAGAATTCTCTCGGGACTTCTATCAATGACCTTGAGACCATGAGCCTGATCCCACCTTCTTTCCAATTTCAATCTGTGGACTAGAAATGATAAATGAATCTGTTGGATAAAAATTCTTTATCAGCCAACATTATTCACAAATCACAAACACAATGGAAATAAATTCATAGTAAATTCTTAATTTTTACCCAGTTAATGATGTGTTGAAAACCACTTCACCAACTTGGGTTCCACCGTTCCAGAAGCACCAAACGACTTCGTTCTCCCAATCGAACCATCCTCCAGCAGTCAAGAGCAGAAGAGTTGAAGAAGAGTTGCAGTCGGCACTTGGCAGAAGGGCGCCGGGCGGAGTCAACTAGCGAGGAACGACAGAATTAAAGAGGGAATTATTGGGTGAAAAAGTTTTGGAGGCAAAGAGGGAAAAACTTACGTGGGTTTTCTCTAGGGTTTATTTCAGAATCAGGGAAACAATTCTAATTTTTGGTTTTTCTTTCATTTACCTTTTCACTTGATGTTAAAAGTGGATAATTCAAGTATGGGCTGGGGGGCCAGGGGGGGGGGGGACCGAAAATTTTTCCCTCTAATTATTAGCCTACAAATATGTAAAATATTTTTGTTAGCAAAAGATATATATTTCCAGTCAATTTTTTTTTTTGGGAGAAAATATAAATTTTTGTGGGCATAAATCCTCTAATATTAAAAATTTTGAAGCAACTCATAGCCCTACAAAAACTCAATTTTGTGGGAAAAAAGTGAACTCCCCCTACAAATCTCAATTTGTCAATGGAAAATTTGTAGGGAAAGTATAAATTTCTTGTAGTGATTTTTTGTCTTCTTTTTCAAGAAATCTTGCAGCTTCGTAGGGTTTAACGTATAAAAGAAAAAAATATTGCCATGATAGTTAAGAGAACATTTGGAGACCTCATCCTGCTCTGAAAGCAAAGAGGAACTAATTCTGGTAAATAAATGCAAACTGGAGATATGTTTGTGTGTATATGTATATGTATATGTATACGTGTAGATATGTTATATGTGTGTATATATAGTACATGAAAAAAGAAAACAGTGAAAATTTATGACTTGAATATTTCATATTTTAATTTTAAGGCATAGGTTTTGACTACTGACTCCAAGAACTTGCATAAAAATAGAATTTTGAATGGGTCATGAGGATGGTGGGGAGAACAAGGTTTAATTTAAATTATAGAGTTCTTATTTTATTCTCTCCCCGAATGACAATCTTTTGTCTGTTGCTTGTTGTTCTAGTTTTTCGACCCAACTTAACGGTAACAATCGTGAATATATATGTTCTTAATGTCAAGAAATGACGGTCTTTAGAGATCGTTTATTTTGTAAATTTAATTTGTGAGCAGGGGTCGATGTATTGGGGCCGCTACTTGACCATGTTGTCAACCAAGTTGTACACTATGTTTTACAAATAGCGTGGTCCGTGTAAGTAATTGATGTGCGTTTTGGTTTCCATTAAATAAAATTTTTTATGTTAATTGATAAAAATAGAAAAACTAATATAAAATTTGGATTGAGTAATTGAAATTATGCTTTGAAACAAGAAATCTCAGAAAGGCAAGAAATAATTCAACTGCAATATGAATGATCAACATTTATTTATTTTTTTTACACGAAGATGGTTGATTAATTATAAAAAAATTGTTTCCAGGAAAATATATTATATATATATATATATATATAATTTTTTTTTTTACTAAAAGTTTAATTAGGTGAAATATTATACAAATTATACAGAAAATAGTGAAACAAATCCAAAGATCATTTATTTGATAATTGAAAGCAAATTCAAAGACAGTTTATTTAAAATTTGAAAACGTGTTATTTTGAATTGACGGGGCTTTTGTTCTACGCCGTTGAATGTTTGAACTTTTGGTCTCAATTACGTGGCATAAAGGTCAAATTAATAGAATAGAGTAGATAACTTTAAAAAAATTAAACATAAAAAAATTTGTTTCATGGTAGAGAGAAAATCTTTGAAGGCTAAAATTTTAAGACTTTTTTGAGCCCAAATTAATTTAAATAACTTTAATAAATATATGAATTTTCAAAACGGTAATTTTTTAGTGGTAAAAATAGAAAATAATAATCATCTCTCAAGTTTTTCATTTAAACGAGCCTTAATTTTATTGGTTAAAATAACAATTTAAACTCATTAAAATTGATGATAATTTATTTACATTTATTATTTTGATAAAGACAAACAAACTCGACTTTTAGTCATGTTAATCGAGCTAATACTCAACCAAATGAAATTAATGATCGAGTAGAATTCGTCTGCACCATTCTTTATCTGTCTATGTGCATGATGCATCTGTTTTTGGTAAATAAACCGTAGATAATGGAAGTCATTTTTCGTAATCTATAGGTCTCTTGAAGTCATGTATTTAGGAAAGACCTAATGAAAGTCATTTCTCTACCTCGAAGTCTTATGAAATTAAAATGTAACAAAATTTACATATTGTTTTTGTGTCAATATTAGTATGTTCAGATATCGAATACAAACGAAGACAAGCTTGAGCTTTTGCAGCAATTGAACATCTTACCTTTTTTGTCCAATTATTTTGGTTTGGTGAATCTCACTTTGACATTATTTTCAAAGACGTATATAAGAAGGTACTATCAACTATGAATTTATTTTAACTTTTAGCCATTGAATTGAACTGATGGATTAATATTATTCTAAACTTTCAAAGTGTAAAATCAAATTAATTTTTATTTATTTATTTTGAAAAGATTGCAATAAGGGTCCCTAACCTTTGTCAAAAAGTATAAATGGGGCTCCAACTTCCATATCTTGACACCACCATTTAAGGGCTCGTTTAACTTTTTTTTATTTTTTATTTTTTTTATTTTGAGTTTTGAGTTCATTTTCTGTTTTGAGGGTTTTTTTTTCTTTTTAATTTTTAAAAACTCGTTTGGTTTGTTGTTTTGAAAAATTAATTTTTAAAATAAAAAACTAGAAAACATGTTTTTTTTGAAATTTTGAAAAATTGTTTTATTATATTTTATTCCATTAAATTTAATTGTTCAGTTAAAAAAGAAAATTTTATATACATTTTAAAGTTGGTGATTTTTATAATATTTTTTTCTTACTAAAAAGGTAAAATTAAAAATAATAAATTAATTTCAAAATATAGGAAATAAAACAAAAACTAATGCGTGGACTTAAAATATTTTTGACCATCTTCATTTAAATATTTTTTAAAACTTTTTATGTAAATAATCATTAAGAGCTAGATCTATTTTTATTTTTCTAGAAATTTTTATAATCTTAATTTTTTTTCACAATTTTGTTTTTAATTTTTTAGAATTTTAGATTTATTTTTTTCAAATTTTTATACTTAAAAAAATATCATTTTTTTACTTTTGATTTTTTTAAATTTAAAATTTTATTAGTCAGAATTATATATTTATTTTTATAATTTTATTTAATAACTATTTTTTTTAAACTCTTGTTTTTTATGTTTTGAGTGTTTTTAAAATTTTCACTGAAAGTATTCAAAACGTCAAAAATGCTTTTTGAGAAAAATGTTATAAAATTTATTTTTTTTTCGAAAACACATTTTCAAAAATAACAAATCAAATACGTTATCAGTATTTTGCAAAATTGAAAATTGGAACGGCTTGAAAACACCAGATCAAATACACCCTATACCTTTTATAAATGTAGTAGCCACAAGTTCTTATGGATAGAATCCATCCAAATGGATGTTTATGATATATTGAGGATTGCGGGGG